CAACTTATACATATTCTTTTTCATTCTGGTTTTATCTTTAGAATTTATTAGAAGTACTTTTTATTTCGAAAAGAAAAAATAAAAGATTCAAATTAAAAAAAAAAAGAAGAAAAAAGAAAAAATAGAAAGAAAAGTGAATTTGTCGATTGAAGACAATTCATTGAATTTTCTTTCCTTTTGTTTTCTGTTTTCTTTTTTTTTTTCTTTGTTTTATTTTTTCCTTACGTTAGAAAATATTATTAATTAATCCGAGAGAAACACATCATTGGAACACATTCGGTAACCGTTTGAAGTTTAATCTCTAATGGAACGGCCGTCGCAATTAGACCGGACTTATATTTTTCTATCGTACTCTCTTTATCCTCTAACGTGAACACTCGTATGCAATGTTTGAACGTGCATTCTTAGCCACGTGACACGGCACGCGTCGGTCGTTATACTATCGCCAATGGCAATTGTTTCCCCTAAAACTTATTGGCCAGCACCGGGCAAGCCGCGAACGTTCTTACGTACATACATAAATGCATGCATACACGCATACATACATACATACATACATACATACATACATACATACATACATACATACATACATACATATATACATACGTCTATCATTGTTTTCTTTTTTCATTATTTTTTTTTTTTCTTTACCTCGTTATTTCGAATTTTTTTTTACTCCCTCTCCCTTGCCCCTTTCATTTTTTTATTCATTCGATTTATTTATTTTCATTCATTGTTACGCGGAATTTCCATCGTAAATAAATTCACGATCTTTGTTATTAGTTCGTTTTATTTACGTTCGATCGTGTGTTCGTTCGCTTGATCTTTGTAAAAAGAAAAAGAGAAAATGAGAAGAAGAAAAAAAAAGAAAAATAACGAGATACGTCAATAATATCTAAAAATAAATATCTAATCGGAGATTAACATTATTCACGAATGGATTTATTAAATCATTTTTAGGAACTTCATTGCACGCTTTCTGACGATCCTTCTATTTAACATTTGGGCACGTGCGTGAAGCTCATTGGGATTTAAATTAAATCCGTTTTAAGATCGAAATTAAAGTGAGAGGGAGGGAGAGAGAGAGAGAAACAGGAAAGAGAGTAAAGGATTTGAATGATTTTCTTTATAAATGTGACATCATCGATTCGATCGATCGATCGATCAAAACGAATATATAAATTTTCGTATAGATCAGCGATAAGTTGCTTATACAAATGCTACGTTTCTTCGTCTTCGGAGCAATGAACTTACGCGTTAATTCGAGAAGGAGGAAGAAAGAAAGAGAGAGAGAGAGAGAGAGAGAGAGAAAAGAGAAACATAAGGAAAGAAAAAATAAAAAAAAAAAAAGAATAACAAAGATCGAAAGAGAGAATTGACGTCAGTAAAATTATAATACGTCGAGATATCACAACATAAACTTGTTAGGTTCATTGGCGAGACAAATAACTGGTCATTTGGTATCGTCAAATTTGACAATGTTATCATTGTCTATAGTTTTATCTGTTATTCCGGGGAAATCATGAAGTGACCTTCGTTAACATGAAACTATCGAATAGAATGATATTTCATTTTCTTTATTTTTTTTTTTTTTGTTGTTTCTTTTTTCTTTTCTTTTCTTTTCTTTTTCCTCGGAAGTCGGATTAAATTTACTTATTAGTCATTTTCTACGAAATAACTCAAGATCTCTTTTTTTTTTTTTTTTTTTCTTTATTATTTTAACATAACAACATGATTTTTCGTATAAATATAATTTATTTTCGGAATATAATCGTAATTGAGGAAAGCTGGCACGTGTTTTAAAGTAATGTATGGGATAAAAGGAAAAAAAGAAAAAGAAGAGATTGCAAGAAACACAAAAGACTTTTTATCGATCGCTCGAATGAAAAATATCGAATACAAAGTTTCATTCGTTTCTTTGGAAAAAAAAAGAAAAACAAAAAAAAAAATACTCGATATTTTCATTAATATCATTTTCCTCGGAATATTATTCTAATGATAAGACAAATGAAAATGATAAATATTTAATATAATGATATTAATGTTTTTATATTGATATCATTTTCCTTAGAAGAATACGAAATTAATTCGCGTTTAGATTGTTTAATGTGAAATTAATTTTTTTTTTTTACATGTATATACGATTTGTTTCGATAATCTAAATATATATGTATATATATATATATATCTTTTTTTTTTTTCTTTTTTTTTTTATTAAATCGATCGAATATCCTTCAACGATTTAAAATGTTTCCTTTTTCTCTTTCTTCCTTATTTTCTAACTTTTTCCTTTTTTCTTCTTCTTCTTCTTTTCTTTTTTTCTTTTCTTCATCTTTCAATCGATTTAACAAGACGATAACGAAAAAAAAAATATTAGCTCGTATAAAAGTCTCGAAGGAGACTTAAAATAAAACGAACGTCGTATTTATTTCAAGAAACGCATATATCGTTGATTAAAATTAGTTGATTCATGTAAATTATCAAAAAATTTCTGACGACATTATTGGCCAATATTACGAATAACTCTTCGAACGACGAGTTTAACTGACGTAAGCGAGAGGAAGGGGAGGAAAGGAAAAAAAATCGAAGAGATAAACATCGAAAAATATGATTAAAAAAAAGAGAGAGAGAGAGAGAGAGAGAGAGAAAATAAACAAAAAGAGCAAAAGAAAAAAGAAAAAACAAAAAAAAGAAGAAACAAACAAAAGAGAAAACGTCGAGAAGTGCAGATAGAAAAGAGAAGAGAGATTGCAAATACAAAAAAGAGAGGCTTTAGCAGTGAACGAAATAGGGCACTTGTGATTTCAATTTCATAGAAGGATCTTTTATCTCTCTCTCTTTATCTCTCTCTCTTTCTCTCTCCCTCTCTCTCTATCTTTCTCTCTAACTCTATCTCCCTCTAATTTTTTTCTTCCTTCCTTCCTTCCTTCCTTTCTTTCTTTCTTTCTTTCTTTCATTTTTCTTTTTATAATTTTTTTTCTTCTTTTTTTTTTTTTTCTTTTCCCTAGTCTTTCTCTCGTCCATGCTCGAATGTTATGACAATTATGAGTTTTTCCGTGAACGCATCGAGCCGGCACGTGGCTGAGTAGCTCAACGTCGTACGTCGAGGGGCACGAATGGCGCGTGCCCTCGCGTGAGAACAATCTCGCTCACACGCGTCACACGTATATACACGCCACACACGTATTGTTGAAAGTACTATTGGCGAACGGGAACGCTGAACATTATCGTCCTTTCATCTTTCTTGCATTTGTAATTAACTTGGTGAAAAGAAAAAAAAAAAAGAGAAAAAGAAAACAAAGGAAACAAGAAATAAAAAAAGAAAAAAATTAAAAAAGAAAAAAAGAAAGGAAGGAAGGAGGGAAGAAAGGGGAAAAGAAAAATTGTATTATTATTATTATTTTTATTATTATTATTTTCATCCATTTATTCTTCTCGTTTCATTATTTTAAATAAAATTCATGAATGCGTGAATGTGTATATATATATATATATATATATATATATATATATATATAATAATAATAATAATTTATACATCCTTGAATATATTCATTTTGTTTAATGCGCAATTTTTCATTTGTTATATTGATCGAAAACATACTTTAAGTATATACTTATATAACTTGAATTTATGATAATGATATGATAATTATATATTTAATTAATTTGAGACCAGATTTAAAATATGAAAGATACATAATGATATTCTGCAACTATCGGATCATATAATAATAATAATAATAATGTAAATTTCTCGTCTTTAACGATTATTAAATCGAGAGAAGATACACGTGTTAATGTTCTCGTATCGTATAAAGAAAAAAGGGCATCGAAATGGTACTCTCAAAAATGTAAAGCCAAAGATTTCTCTCTCTCTCTCTCTCTCTCTCTCTCTCTCTCTCTCTCTGGAAATATTATAGAGGATTTGTGATCATAACTGACCGCAGAGACGTAAGATCGACGCGTGTCTACGTACGTGATGCACGTGCACGAGAGAACTAGGAGAGAGAGTCTATTCTCGATCTAAGGATCGATCATTTAATTACGTTAAAGTGTTACGAAGATGTTTCATTGACACTGTACATTTTCTTATTCTTTCTCTCCGATGATCTACGAATAACGAGAGACACCACGATAACATATTTCGAGATAACAAAATAACATATTTTGAGAATATTTCGATGTTTTTTTACGGAAGAAAAAGAGATCGATCATCATCCGTTGAACCGTAAAAATAAATAAATAAAAAAAAAAGAAAACAGAAAAAGAAAAAAAGAAAAAAATAAAAACATAAAGGAGCATACTGTCTAATCGATAGGATCGAAAATACAAATATCATATGCACAAGGACGAGAAATCAATCGAGTGGAATCTACGATCAATTAACTTGTCGTATGTCCCTGATTTAGATACGTAGTAGGTATACTCTATTGACAATTCATCATCAATCATCGAGCCATTAATCCAATTCGATTTTCTTCTCTCTCTATCTCTTTCTCTCTCTCTAGTCTTTCGTACCCAATGGACCAAATATTATTGGATCGATCGTTGCATTATTTTTTCATTCTTTTATCAATGAATGTATTCCAACAATCAAGTTACAATATATAAATGAATATGAACAGACATACATATATATATATATATATATATATATATATATATAAGATAATTTGTCGTTGATTAAAAGAAGATGGAAAAGAAGAAAAGAAAAAAAAGGTGTCTTGTCACGAGAAGATCCAGTCAAAATCAGTGGATGTGCACGAGAAGATATCCAAGATGATTGGTCGTGTGCGTGTCAGTATAACATTTGATGCCTCGTAAAATTTCTCTCGTAAAAGTAACAAAGGGTGAGGGTAAACAGGAGAGAGAGAGAGAAAATGACAGAGAGAGAGAGAGAGGGAGAGAGAGGAAGGGAGAGAGAGAGAGAGAGGGAGCTCATAACGTGTGATAAGGTCGGGGCCGACCGAGGTAATAAATAGGAGAGGGTAGTACGTAGGAGCGGCATTTCGTCTCGCGACGGCGTACAGTTCGCATCGATCGTAGCTTTCGTTGAGAATATCAGAGATTCGTGACAGATTCGAATTGCGCATTCTCATTCTATCTTGTCTCTTAAGAAAACAGGATATAAAAGAAGAATAAGAAGAAGTTAAAGAAGAAGAAGAGGAAAAGAAGAAAAAAAGTGGATGAAAAAGGATCATAACATTTGATAATTGACTAATACTATTTTGGTGACGTCAAAGAAAATCCTCATTAAAAAGACATCATTCAAATAAAGAAATATCCTATAAAAGAAGAATAAATAGAAGAAGAAAGAGAAAAAGGATTAGAAGGAGAAGAAGAAAGGAAAATATTAGAGTGATCATGTTGAAGAAATTATTGAGCAAATCTGGACGTAGAATTTTACGGGTAAGAAATATATATTAAATTATTTTTATAAAAGGGATAAAAGAAAAATGTTAACTTTAACTACGTGAAATAAGTTTAAAGTCAGAAAAGAAAAAAGGAAAGAGAAAAAATGGTAGATGGGACGTTTTGGTATATCTATGTGTATGTGCGTATGTATGTATGTATGTATGTGTGTATGTATGTGTGTATGTATGTATATGTTGAGTTCGGTGCTCGACGACCTAATTTTCCAGCGTGACATCGTCGAGTGACCCGGGCATTGGCTTGCTCCTAGTTTTTGACCGTTCGATTCCATTTCGTGTTCTATTTTTTTTCCATCCGTTTAATAATTTTAATAACAATTTCATTAGAGAAAAAGTAAACGTGTAGGTGGTTTCGCGCGCGCGCGCAAAAATGAGAAAAATATAGAAAGAAAGAAACTTGATTATTTGTCCATAATGAAGATTCGAAACGTGTTGTTGTAACGTTATACATCAAAAGATAAGAATACTATCGTGTAACTTAATCTATTAGCTTGCGCGTTTTACGTCAGAGTTGCGTGTGTGCTCGTGCATGAGAGAGAAAGAGACAGAGTGAGAGAGAGAGAGAGAGAAGGAGAAAGAAGGAGTAAAAAGGGTGGGTGGAGGGGTGGTGGGAATGAGAGTGTGGGAGGGAGGAGAAGGAGTTGCTTGACATTTTCAAGAAAGAAAAACACATCGTTGCTTTTCATCGTAGGCGATCAAGAAGCTGTCAACGAGGAGTCGGAAGTTGAAAAGGTCGCAGCAGTCCAATTGTGGTGGTGGTTGGCAATCGACCCTCGGACCGGATCTAGATGCCGTGTCCCTTTCGTTGTCCCTACCGTCCCTGGACGCGAAAAGTATCGACACCTACATGACCTACGTCATTGAGAACATCGATGATTGTGATTCTAAATGTTGTCACTGTTGTGACGAATACGAAGAGAATCAAAGGAATGAGAACATTGAAAATGAAATGACGATCTAACGTTTACTTCGATAGATCATTCTTTTGTAATATTTATTTCTCTCTCTCTTTCTCTCTCTCTCTCTCTGTCTCTCTCTCACTCTTTCTCTCTTTCTGTCTCTCTTTCTCTATCACAATCTCTATCTCTTATATTTATTATTTATTCCACGTTCCTAATAAACTAGCAATAAAGAGATTATCGGGATTAGAGAGGGACAGAGAGAGAGGGAGATAGAGAGAGAGAGGGAGATAGAGAGATAGAGAAATAGGAAGAAAAAGAGAAGAAAGTTTAAAAGATAAATGATGAATGAAAGACCAAAGAAATAGATTTTATTTATAATCAAGCATTACTGTTCGGTCTTCCGAAAGAATATTTATGAAAGAAATCTCAGTAAATTCATCGGATTTATTATTTTGATCTCGTTTAGCCTAATTCCATATCTCGTATATGTATGTATATACGTATGTATGCAATTCCTAGCACGAACTGTTAGAATAGCTTTGTATCAATTTTTGTTTTTTTCTTTTCACCGCCTCTGCCCCTCCCTTCCCCCTATCACGCTCCTTTTTTCGTTTTATTTCGTTTCATCCGTTTTTTTTCTTCTTTTATTTTTTTTTTCCTCGCAACGAAAGAAAGACGATTTCTATCGCGTTGCTATTATTTAAAGGTATTCATATCGTGCAGCAATACCTAATATAGTACAAACGCATATCGGATATGCCTATGTGCAAGAAACTAGAATAGAATGGAATAGAATAGAATAGTAATGTAGTAATGTAGTTTATAAGTTGGCCGATTCGATTCACATCCAAGGTAATTTCACATAAAATTTCTTATTGCGATAAATATGTTCGTCGATAAATATTGATACGATCGATGGATTAGAACGAGTTGATTGTAATTTAAGAAAAAAAAAAAAAAGAAAAAAAGAGAGGATAGTATAAAGTTTGTGTTAAAAAGGTTTCTCTAAAACTTAAGAAACGTGTCTCTTATTGTCCATCCAAAATTCACAAGAAAAGAATATATATATATTTATTCTTCCTACAATTACATTATTGTAAATAAATAAATAAAGGAAGGAAAGAAAGAAAGAAAGGAAGAAAGAAAGAAAAAAAGAAAAAAGAAAAGATAAAAAAGATCGATTATAAAAATGTCTCTTAGATAAAAAAAAATTTCTATGTCGAGTATAAAATTATTAAAGGATATAACACACACACACACACACACATTATATACATATATGTGTATGCGTTTGGAATGTGTGTATATATTTTGAGTGTATGAATGATACAAATGGATAGACGTCGATAAGGCTGTGACATTGTAAAAGATATGAACGTCATCAATAAAATGGTCGTATTGGAGTCAGAATTTTGCATAGTTGTAAATCGTATACCTCACTCCTAGCTATATTATGTATTGCCCCTCTCTTCTATGGATCTTGCAATATTTACGAAGTTTCATAGTCTCTTAGGTTAGTTATACTACCAAAGAGTGACTAAACAACTTTTTATTCGTTCGTATAACTTGCAAATATGTAGATATTCTTTTTTCTTCTCAATATTTCTTTTCTTTTATCTTTCTCTCATTTTTCTTTTTACCATTACCAAAATTTCTATCTTGCCAATTTTAATTTCTTTAAAATCGTTTATACACGACGATCCGTTTGGGATAAAATTTGTTAGAAATTTATTTTTTTATTTTTTTTTGTTTTTATCGTGAAATCACATTACACGACGAGTCAGCGTGTCAAATTATTTCTTTCTCGAGATTGATTTCTTTTTTCTTTTTTTAGAATTATTACACATCGATCCGGGACAGAATTTCTTTTTTCTTGTTTTCTTTTGTTTTCTTTTTTTTAACTGAGTCTTTTATCGTGACCCCTTTTTTTTTCCTTTTACACGAGTTAGCGTGTTAAATTATTTCTTTCTTCGAATTTTACCACTGTTATACAGAATCATTAAACATCGATCCAAGAGAAAATTTGTTGGAAATATTGTTTATCATGGGTGTACTTCTCTTTCTTATTCCTCATTTCTCATGCATTATTCAAACTATTTCTAAGAGATCTTTTCGACGACATTTTACAAAAGAAGAGAGAGAGAAAGAGAGAGAGAGAGAGAGAGAGAGAGAGAGAGAGAGAGAGAGAAATCCTGGCAATGGGTTCAACACGTGCACACTTTAGCAATTACTCTTAGTGGTTGCATGCAATCCTTTGAGGATAGAAATCTGTGGGAGGGTAACGAGCCTTCTTAAATTTGCAGGAAAAGAGAGAGAGAGAGAGAGAGAGAGAGGAGAGAGAGAGAGAGAGAGAGAGAGAGAGAGAGAAAGAGAGAGAAAGTAAGAAAGAGAAAAAGCTTAACAGGAACAATAGGCACGTGTCCATGTCCGATATTATTCCTGATTCTCGAAAATTGCTTTCACGGGAGAAGAATCACCAGGGGTGCAATCGGTGGTAGCAATTATATTTTCCATTTTGCGAATCTCACAATCTTTAGCGTGCGAAGGTGAAACTAACGAGACGCAAAACTGGTTCAGGCATAATGCCTAAGGGAGGGTGTCAAGAGTTCTTCTGTTATTCGGCTCATACATAAATAGTAGGTGTGTGTACGTACTCTTTGGATTTCTTTTTTTTTTAGTTTTCTTTTTCTTGCTTTCTTTTTTTTTTTTGGTTGGTTGGTTGGCAAGCTGCGAATAGGAATGTTTGCATAAGAAAAGAGATTATAAGTCTGTAAACGTCAGTTACAAACAAATAAATTTACATTTAAGTAGTGTTAAGTTAAGTTAATGTTAAATATGACATAGAAAAAGGGTAGAAAGAAGAGTTGAATCCTTTTCTCTTTGGACCTTTTTCTTTTGCGTTTTCTTTATTAAAAATTCTTATTGCAAAAATATCATTGTCTTTAGCATGTATACAAATATCTGCAAGGTGTACAATGGCACGTAGTTAGTAAATGTTTCAATATAAGTTTCTTTGGAATACAATCTTCAAAAGATAAAAAGAAAACCCACACTTCGTAGAAATATATATGTGTATATATATATATATATATATATATATATATATATATATATATATATATATATATATATATCAATAATTAGGCTTAATAACATCCATTAATTGCAAATGTAAAAAGAAAACTCTATTAATAAAACTATGTACACTATACAAGATTTTAATTCTGTCAAATAAATATTATTATTGTTGTTATTATTATTATTTTTTTTTTTTAACTTTTAGGTACTTTTATATAATATAATATACTATATATATATATACTATATATACTATATAATATACTATATATATATATATATGACTATCATCGTATCACTTGTCGGACGTATCTAATCCTAATAGTTTTTTTGGTCATATCAAATTCCTGAGATACGTTTCGAGAGATCGTTTTATACAAAATATACCACATCTATGACTTATGTACAATAATCTAAAAAAACAAGATATTATTATCTCGTTGGCTCTTTTGTAAATTGTCAAGATCGACAAAATTTTTTTTCTATTACAATCGATTGGATTAGTAATCGATCGAAATATATAAGAAAAAAGAGAATGATTTATTCGAAGATGAAAAAAAAAAGAAAAGAAAAAAAGAAAAAGGAGAGAAGAGAAAAAAAATAGGAAGAAACAAAAAAGAAAATTTTATAAATTAATATCGAACTATTTATATACTTTCTCCTAAATAATCGTATCCTCAATAAGCAAGTTCTGCTCCCCAAGGTCTGTAAGGTTTGCCTTGTTGTTGTGCATATTGTGTTGGATATTGGCTCCAACCTAAAGCACCACCACCAAGTAATGGTGGCATAGTACCAGGTCCTGGTGGCATACCAGTAGATACCGTGCTAGGAGATTCATAACTGCTGACTGTTGAGGTAGATGTAAGTGTTGTTGCTGAGGGTACACCTGGCCCAGGGACACCGGTTGAAGGTGGTGGTCCTGTTGTATGTTCCCTATGGAAACTTTGTAAATGAGAGAGAAGACGTAACCTTAATGGATCTCTCTCATCCAAACCTTCCATAGTGATTAAGTAACGACCAACTTCGGCGGCACATTCACCCCAACCAACTGCATGATAATCCATAGCTAATTTAGTACTGTCATAACCATCGGGCCCTGTAAAAAATAAAAATGAAGATGATCAAAGATTTATAATATATTATAAAAATGAAAAGGAAAATCATTCGCAAAGATTTTTATTATTATCATATTCTAAGAAGAGTAAAAGTTTTAGTGTCACGACATCACAATGCTTTCTTGCTAGAGAGTATATATTCAGAGAGAAAGAGAGAGAGAGAGAGAAAGTTGAAATGGACTAAAAGCCTTGGCTTTGCCAACCGGAGAGGTATTGTATCGTTGAGGTAGGGGGCAATGGGACAGGTAGCGTGGGAATCGTTTAGACCCCCATAAACCGGAGCCACATGCAAAGCTTACACACCAATTGGAAATACCCTGTCCCACGACATTATAAATCCTATGTCTATTAAAAGTTAGACAATTTTTATTATTAAAGGAATCTATGCTTTATGTATTTCTTTTATATATGTTCATATATTTTTTCGTTCTTTTATAATTAACCATTTTTAAATATATCATTGAAAAACATTATTTAAGTTATTTCTAATGGTCACTTTTTTTTTCTTTTTTTATGGATCACTTGTTCCTTGTCGTTGATATTTTCAATATTGTAGAGAAATACATAGAGAGAGAGAGAGAGAGAGAGAGAGAGAGAGAGAGAGAAAAAGAGAGAGACAGAGAGAGAAAGAAAGATTTACGATTGTGTGAGTTAGTATACTACTAGGTAGTTGGTTTCCCACAGAGTTCGACATCTGCCCCGGTCGCTGGCAACTCAGCGCCTTCTTCATGAGGGGTGCTAGTGCGAGGCCACCCTACACACATACACGAACACATTCTCCTTCTCTTGCTCTTTCTCTCTCTTTCTCTTTTTCTCTTTCTCTCTCTTTCTTTCGTACCGCCACCAATCGTGGGAACGCCATCGAGGAAGAGTCGTTGACTTCCTGTGCTTCCCACAGGATCTTCGAGTTAGATCCAGCACCTGCTGCTTTTAGGGATTCACAGGAGGATTTAGGATTAATATATCGGTTAGCAAAATCGCAAAACGTGCTCTAGCTTCAAATATTCTTCTAATCGTTCGATAAATCGAATATATGTATATAGATGTAAGAATGTAATAAAATATCGTGAAGAAGATGCTCATAAATCTTGTTTCTATTTTTTTTTTCTTTCTTTCTTCAACGACAAGATCGGTTCATCTTCAATAAATTTTGCCATAACGAGAGTCTTCTTTCTTTTTCTTTTTTCTTTCTTTTTTCACGTTCTTTCTTTATTTTATCTTTTATCTATTTCTCTTTCTTGGTTTTTTTTTTCTTTGTTATTTTTACTTTAAAATAGCCGTATTTCACGGTCGAACGATTCCTTCGCGAAATTTTTTTCACGTCGTCATTTTATCGACGTTACTATAAATATATTCCTCGTTGAATCCGCAGGATGTGTTACAGCCCCTCTTCTCTATACCTTTCTTTATCGAATTGCACTTTTCATAGAAACACTTTTATATATATTATTCCCTGGTGCGCGTAACAAATTATTCTGCAGGCGTATCACAACAAACAGTTAATTAATAGTAACACACACGGAGTCGCGATACGATACCCTTTATTTTTATTGAATGCATTTTAACGAGGAAAATCTATAAGAACGACAGATGGCGATTCGGTTATGGAGTTACCGTTCTTGGAGCACGGTCAACAGGTGTCTTCCGGTCTAAAAAGAATCGGCAAATGACGGCTGTAAAAAGTAAGAGAGAGAGAGAGAGAGAGAGAGAGAGAGAGAGAGAGAGAGAGAGAGAGAGAGAGAAAAGAGAAAGAAAGAGAAAGACAAATACAGAGAAGGAAGTGATTGGATACGGGAGAAAATACGATTTACTTCGGTGCAGGTTGGAACTGCATCGGCCTTGACTTGGGAAGTAGCTTTAAATTGTTTCTGATCGATGGTGTCCAATCAACCGCGTATACGCGAAAGGATGCGCTTGGTTAGCTATTAGATAAGCAGGGAAATAAGAATCTAGATCGAAATTAAATCAATCGATGAAAATTATCGATTTATCTTACGAACTATATAGATTATTTTTACGTCTACGATATCATCTAACGTGATCATGTTGCATCTTTGTTCGTTGCAACCTTTATTTTCTTCTTTTTCTTTTTTTTTCCTTCTCTCTCTCTCTCTCCTCTCTCTCTCTCTCTCTCTCTCTTTTTCCTTCTCGTATAGGTAATACCGGCAAAGGATATGGGTGCAATCTCGAAGGGTTGAGATATATCAAAGGGGTGTGAGTAGGAAACGAGAGAGGAAAGAGAGGAAGAGAACTTGCTTTACCTCAGATAATGTTCCGTTATTTGAAATAACGGTTGGATATATTATTTACGATTTTGAACGCATTTTCTTAGGCTTAGATTTACCGTTAGAATTACCGTTTATATTAGATATATTTATGTATGTAGATGATTGAACGTGATTAACGTCAAATATTTTCGTAATCGTATTAGTTAATTATATTTATTAGAATCAATTAAGAAAGATGATTTTTTAAAAGTAATATTTCTTCCATGCTAAATGGACGCACACGTATATATACATATAAAAAACTTACCTTTATTTCTAAGAGTACGTAAATGTTCGACCGTGAGCTGAAGTATTTCAGCCTTCTCCAATTTTGCACTATGAGGGTCTCTAGCCGCTGCAGGCACCAATCTTCTCAGTTCTCCAAGGGATGCGTTTATTCTGTCACGGCGTTTCTTTTCGATCATCCCCCTTCTACGTTTACGCGATGCGTGCTGACAAGAATCACCTCCGGGTGAATTGCATCTGTAACAAGAAAGGCAAAAAGAAAAATGTAGACTCTGGTTGAATCTTTTGATGTCTGGCTCAGAATGAAATACAAATTTATAGTTCATCGATTTATCAATCCAACTTTCTCATAAATTTTATTATTTATTTCTATGTATATATATATATATATATATATATATGTATGGAAAATAACGATCGAATATGCGCTCGTTTATTCTCTTTATAGCATATATCGATCGAACATTAATTTTCTCATGTCAAGGATAATCCTATTACATACTATTGGATGAAATAGATATTAGAATATTATTTATGTACTTACGGTTCCTTTCCGCTTTCTTCGGAAAAGACGTCATCGCAATCAGAGTCGCTCATAGCTCTTTTGAGATTCCTCGAATGATGATGAGCTTGATTCTGTTGTTGTTGCTGTTGCTGCTGTTGCTGCTGTTGTTGTTGTTGTTGTTGTTGCTGTTGTTGTTGTTGATTAGCATCTTGAGATCTCATCTCGTCAATTTTAAGATCAGAATATTCGTGATTGGTTCTGATCTCTGTCATGTCTGATCTCATCCCGGACATATCCTGATGCCTAACATCGGGATGTCTTATTTCTTGATGCCTAACTATATCTGATCTATGCATATCTTGATGTCTTTGTGCATCTTGATGTCTTTGCATCTCTTGATGCCTAAGGTCAGGTCTTTGCATTTCGTGAGTTCTGATATCGTTTATATTGGATGGCGGAGGATGACGAAGGTCAGGTGGTGGTGGACGCATATCATGATGATGACGCATGTCAGGATGCTGCGGTTGATAAGGAGGATGATGCGGCGGAGGTGGATAACCCCAATGATGACCGGATGGTAAATGCGTTGGTGCTACGGCACCAGAAGTAATGTCCGAGGACAACAAAGTACTGTTCTCGTCCGAACGTGCTACTACTACTCGCCACATTTTCTCACGAGAGTTTTTTCTTTTTTTTTTTATTAACTGTTTAAGTTATTTACGAAAGAGAGGAAGGAAGGAAGGAAGAAGAAGAAGAAAGTAATCGTTATTGGAAGTTTCAAAGATATCGGCAGTGCTCGTAAAATCGTAATGTCGATTTTTTAATGTTACGACGAAGTCTCTGTGATCCAGGATGATCGAACGATTTACTTTCGAAATTAGGTAGGTGTTATCTCATGTATAATATAGATCCCATAACGATGCTTTTGTTAGATGGACGAAGTGTCATATGAGTCGCATTGCGGTACCAAGCGAGCGAGAATGCTCGTTAAATAACCTTGAATAATAATCGTTGGTCCAATGAATCAAACGTAGACATTAAAATGATTTAGTTCTTCGATAGTTCTCCTTCGTAGAACACTTTACCTTGATTCACATTGATCGACATATTCGAGGATTAATATCGTTGATATCACTTTTCCTTTTGTTTTCTCTTCTTTCTTTTTTTTTTTTTTTAGCAAAATTGAAAGAAATCAAAAAAAGAAGAAAAAGAAAAAAAAGAAAGAAACTCGTGAAGCCGAATAATGATTCAAAAAAAAAAAAAAAAAAGAAAAAAAATAAATAAATAAAAAAAAATATATATATAACAACAACTTTGGATTGCACTTGTCGATCGGGTTCACACGTGGCACAGCTTCCTGAGGTCGCGTGTCAGGATTTGGATATGTTGAATTTGCTATCGCGAGGACTTCTTCGCGGATGCACTTATCCCCGTCGCTACGTAGGATATAGAAGGTGGGTGAACACACACTATTGCCGCGATAGCCGTGATCCTGTTGGCGTTATTGCAATTCCTGGTTACTGCTGTAGTTAGTGTCGTTGTTAGTGCTGTTACTGCTGCTGCTGTTGCTGCTGTTGCTGCTGCTGCTGCTGCTGCTGCTGCTGCTGCTGCTGCTGCTGCTGCTGCTGCTGCTGCTGCTAGCTCCCGCACGCGTGTGCATCGGTCGCGTGGCGGCGGACGTATGTCGTGTGCGGGAGGACCCAGGGACGGCACACGAGCCGCGTGCCCTGTTTCAGACCCAGTGGTGGGGAGTATTCTCGTATATTTTTGGAGTGGGGAAGGGGCTATAGGTTCTTCTCTTTTCCTCCTATACGATTCTCAAAGGTGAAAGCTATGCTGGAACCCTATGGATCAAAGGCGAGAGTTAGGAGGGAAGAAAAAAGAGAGAGAGAGAGAAAGAGAAGAAGGGAGAAAAAAGGAGAGAGAGAGAGAGAGAGAGAGAGAGAGAGAGAGAGGGAGGGAGGGACTTTTACACGAACATGAGGGGAACGAGCTAAGAGATCAAGAGGGGCGATTTTCGTGGGAACGCCTGTGGCGCTTCCTCTATTCGCGGTGTCCCTAGTTTTCTTCCCCTC